TATACTGATTTTAACATAAAATATGTTATTTTTGTACTAACACAAAATTTTTCTTCAATTGTATCAAATTTTATTATATCAATAGAAGTTTTAAAGCAATTCTTAAACTTTTATTAGGAAGTTTATAAAGTTTATAATTCAATTGGAAACATTTACTACAATATAACAATATATTGTAATATTGACAGTTTGAAATTTCATTATTATTGTGTAAAATGGAATAGCTAAATGCAATTTAGCTATTTATTTGGCGTAAGTTTCAAATTCATTTAAATAAATAATATTAAAATAACATTTTTCATTTTTTACCTCACTTTTTCCTTGTTGTTGTAATGTTTTCTCTTTTGATCGTTCAGCTTCTCTATGACGAATCTAATCAAAATAAAGTTTTTAATAGATAACATTCATGTAAAAAATACTTTATTTATTTAATATTCAGCTTTTACTTACCTTCTGAACAGCTTGTTCCATTGTTAAAAAGCCATCTCTTACCAACAGCATTAATTGAAGTCTTTCCTCATCACCTAATAAAACATTTCCAGTTGGCAACCTAGGAACTAATAATTCATTTTATTATATATAGGCCTATGAGAAAATTAATTATAAAAATTTAATTAATCAAAATTATTTACTTTTAGCATGTGGTTTCTGAGTTAAATGAAGTAAATGAGGTTTTCCTGGTTTATTAGAAGGTTTATCTTTTTTACTTCCAAGACTTCGAAATAATTTTCCTAATCCACCACGTTTCTTTATATGTTCACTAGAATCATCTTTGCCTCCTTCAGAAAATAAAGTATTAACTAAACTTTTAAAAAAGTGAACATCTATGTAGTTATTTTAGATAGAAAAAAAACAATACAGATTATATAGTTTTTTAGTTTTATGTAAATAAGAAAAATTATGTATATAACTTATTTTGATTTTTATCCAAATTTGCACAATATTATGAATTTATGAATGATAAGAGTTTAATATAGGATATTTTTGTGTAAAATATAAAATTGAAATTAAAAGTGTATATATATATACACTTTTAATTTCAATTTTATATTTTACACAAAAATATCCTATATTAAACTCTTATCATTCATAAATTCATAATATTGTGCAAATTTGGATAAAAATCAAAATAAGTTATATACATAATTTTTCTTATTTACATAAAACTAAAAAACTATATAATCTGTATTGTTTTTTTTCTATCTAAAATAACTACATAGATGTTCACTTTTTTAAAAGTTTAGTTAATACTTTATTTTCTGAAGGAGGCAAAGATGATTCTAGTGAACATATAAAGAAACGTGGTGGATTAGGAAAATTATTTCGAAGTCTTGGAAGTAAAAAAGATAAACCTTCTAATAAACCAGGAAAACCTCATTTACTTCATTTAACTCAGAAACCACATGCTAAAAGTAAATAATTTTGATTAATTAAATTTTTATAATTAATTTTCTCATAGGCCTATATATAATAAAATGAATTATTAGTTCCTAGGTTGCCAACTGGAAATGTTTTATTAGGTGATGAGGAAAGACTTCAATTAATGCTGTTGGTAAGAGATGGCTTTTTAACAATGGAACAAGCTGTTCAGAAGGTAAGTAAAAGCTGAATATTAAATAAATAAAGTATTTTTTACATGAATGTTATCTATTAAAAACTTTATTTTGATTAGATTCGTCATAGAGAAGCTGAACGATCAAAAGAGAAAACATTACAACAACAAGGAAAAAGTGAGGTAAAAAATGAAAAATGTTATTTTAATATTATTTATTTAAATGAATTTGAAACTTACGCCAAATAAATAGCTAAATTGCATTTAGCTATTCCATTTTACACAATAATAATGAAATTTCAAACTGTCAATATTACAATATATTGTTATATTGTAGTAAATGTTTCCAATTGAATTATAAACTTTATAAACTTCCTAATAAAAGTTTAAGAATTGCTTTAAAACTTCTATTGATATAATAAAATTTGATACAATTGAAGAAAAATTTTGTGTTAGTACAAAAATAACATATTTTATGTTAAAATCAGTATATCACATATTTAAACATGACAATTTTAGATTATGTTATTGTTAAAGAATAACCTTCTTGTTTATATTTTGAATATTACAATCAATAGATCATAATTTAGACAACTTATATAAAATTAATTTTTAAACTTAAGAAATGTAATGATTTCATACTGTAGTAAAAAATTTAATTTAATTTCAAAAATTTATTTATTAGTATCATTGTTATATGATACCAATAAATAAATGAAAAATATTAAATATAGTTTGATTTAAATAGAATTTATTTGTTTTGTTGCTTATTAATTAGATATAATGTTAAATTATCAGTCAGATGGCTAAATATTAAAAACCCTGAAGCACATCATTAATACACTTCAATATTGAAATCAATTCCTATTCATATTTCAAGATTGTGTAATTTAGAATTTGACTAATCATGTAAATTTTATAATAAACAATAAATATAGAAAATAGAAGCTCATTAAAAGCATTATCAACTTTTTATTATTATTGATTAGATGGGATGTATTCAAAATATTTGATCAGGAAATGATGATGCATATTCATTTATTAAATTTACTCTATGATGATTTAAATTTTAAAATTTTGAAATTAAATAGCAAAATTACAAGGCAGTAGATTATTTAATATTTAGAATTAGTATATTTTTGATATAATAATGAACATATGTAATTATACAATGAAATTGTACACATTAATTTTTTTATAAAAAACAATTATTTAAAAACTGTTTTTTTATCTAGGTCTTATCAAATTTTTATGTTTATAAACATTTCAACCTTATATTAAATATGAATTTAGATTATTAGTTTTTATATTTCTAAATAAATTTTTAATAAATTTAATATTTAAAAATATAATTTCACATATATTACACAAACAAATATTGTCAAAATAATAAAATGCTTATCATCATCTTTATTGAAAATAATTAATAATTGCAACATAATACTTTTAGCAACTTCACATAAATACAAACTACTCTGTTCAAAGTACTTTAATTGTTAACTTGGTCCATTTTCTACATAGCTAAAGTGAATACTGGGACTGTGTCAAGTTACTAAAGGTATTGTCTTGCATTTGTTTATATCATCAAGGAATATATAATATGTCACAGAATTCAATTAATTAAAGCATCAAAACTCAAATTACAAATTTCACTTTCTATAATTTGTATATAAATTTATACTGTGATTTCTGTAATTTTATTATAAATATAAAAATAAATCAAAAACAATCAAATTTTAAGTAACAAAATTCAATATTAAGTCTACATACTCTTACATCTTATCATATATAAAAAGGTACATTAATTTGTATATTTTTGTTACACATTTTGTTAGAGACATTAACTTTTGTGGATAGATAAGGAATATTGTTTGAATCTTCTAGATTCAACAGAATTTCATAGTATGTCAGAACAAAAATGAATAAAATATAAACATAAAAAGTTGTGAAATAGAATCCATTCATTCATTTAATGAACATTTTATTTGTTTATTTTAAAATTATTTAGAAAATTTTAAACAATTTAAATAAAAATATATATGATGGAGATATTACATAAAAGTGAAAATTGTTAGTGAATTGAGTGATAAATAAGCAAAATTTTTAATAGCTTTCAAACTTTGTTTGACATAATACATGGATAAATCAAAAAATTATTGGACATTGTAGATGAAAAAATTGAAAAAAAGAAATCTGAAAAGCATTATAAATTAATTTAACATTCCTAAATAGCAAAACTTACCTAATTAATCTAATGTTTATACAAAGATATTATTGGCATAATATGACACAAATGTTATAAATGTCAATGGGTAGTCAATAGGCAGATAATTGTTGACAATCTTAAACTAAATGTTGATCCAAACATTATCTGTAAACATTGAAACTAATGCAATATATCAATTAAACTTAGTAAATCTTGTCTATGAACTGTTTGTGTTATTAGAGGATTTAGTTATTATGCTATGATTAAAATTTACATATTGTAAATAGCTTATATTTAAAATTTAGTTATTTCTATAACTTCAAATTTTGCTAGTATGAATGTAAATGGAATGTTCATATGATTGTTTATCATATAAAACATTTTAAAATTTAAATGACATTGATTTATACATACTATATATCATTATCATATATATAACAAATAATTTTTATAATACATTTAGAAAGTACAGAAATATTTTAATATATTCTACAAAAACAGAATAAATTTTATGTAACTGCTAAACAAGAATTTTTCAAAATTTTTAAGATTATTTTTTCTGAGGTTTTTTCTTATCACATGCTAATGAAAGAAAGATCTAGTACATTTTACAGTATTATTATTAAAACTTATTTTTAGTCTGTTTCTGTAAAATATATTATAATTTTAAACACTTAAGCATCAAATGATAATTCACAATTTCTAATTATGTGTAATTTCTTGTAACTATGTCTATTGTATGTTAACAAAGCAATTGTTTTATCATTAAATGAGTTTTTGTAAAAATAGTAACTAATTTCAATAGTTTTAAAATCATTTTACAAATTTTGAAAAAAATGATTCTATATTGAAAGCAATGCCTTTTATTCAGTCTAAAAAATTGTTCTTGTGTAAGTTTAATATGTAATATCTTATAAAACTCTAACATTAATATAATTTTGCATTAGCAATACCACATAGTTATTACTTTTTAATTAAATTATACACTATAATTTAAATAATTTTTTATTGATTTTTCCATTTAGAGAGATAAAAGTTATATAAATACAAAACAACATATGAGTAGTACAGAACTGTTCTTATTTAACTATGACAGCATAAGAAAATTTCAATAGTTTTAACAATCAATTTTCTAAAATTGTTTTATATTCCATTTTCTTCACTAATTTTCAGTCTCTTATTGATTGTATACTGATCTGGTTGATGGCTACCTCCTTTTGGACAAAATTACAAAAGAACTTAATAAAATATACTTCAATATACCTTAAATAAATTCTGTAACTTGCCTTTTAACAGTCATTCTAACATTGCTAGGTCCAGATTGAGACTTTTTATTTAATGATCATATAAAATATTTTGATCAATTGTAATACAATAGATACTACAATGGTTATGTGATGTCTGATTGGCTTAGCTTAAAAGTTCCCTTATGTAATACCTGTAATTTTTCAAGCATTTGCACACCTTTTTTTAAAATTACCTTTCTCTTAAAGGTCATTTTTTACCATATTTCACAAAATATAGATAGTTCCAAATATTTACTTCATGTTGATTATTACCATTTCAAAAAAGCCTGTAAATGATTATTATACAATTTTTTTTCTTGTTTTTTATAATTTTATACTAATTACTTGTATTTTGCTTTGTTGTACTTTATTCATCATATTTTATGTATTTTAATTGGGGTTTTACTGTTAATGAGGAGGAGGAAACCTAATGTCAAGAGACTTTTCCTATCATAATTGAAAATAAATAACTAAGTGAAACGGTGATAAAATAGAATAGACAATAAATTAGTTTGAAATGATAAAATAAAAATATATTAGAGAGAACATGAATGTCGAACGTTGAGCGCCGCTATCTTGTAAGTGGTGCTCGACGTTCGATGTTCTCATTTGAGAGATGAAAACTTCGGCCGCAACCTCTCTATTAAATTAAATAAAGTAATTTGAATTTGCATAAATATAAAATTGTATTTAAGTATATACACTTAATATTTCGTCAAATAAAAAGTTAGATATAAAAATAATCTTATAGCTAAAATAAAGTTTAATACAAAGTGTATATTAGGAATATAGATTTTAAGAAATTAATTAAAAATGTTTTAGTGGACAACTGATTGTCAGCAATAATATTATTTGAATATTCATGCTGAATCTTTTGGATAAATATTGATTTTAAAGGACAAAATGAATATGAAACATTCTATGACTCCCTGGCAATAAAAAAAATGATAACTTTTAACACATTAAGAAATATTATTTCACTTTTGCATTAATATTTTTGAAGCTGAGACACTTCACTTTCAGATGCAAATTTGAATGGAGTATACATAAGAAATTGTACTGTTTTTTGGTGTTAAATTTATTTGTTTGATGAATTAGACAAGTACTTTTGACATTTTAGAATGTCTTTCTCATATGAAAAAAATTAAATGTCAAAAGTACTTGTTTAATTCTCTGAAATTCTCTTGTTTAATACTCTGAAATGTTGAAAATACTTGTTTAATTCATCAAATGAATAAATTTAACACTGAAAGACAGTACAATTTCTTATGTATAGTATATTTGGTATCATAAGTGAGAATATAAAGTTTTATACTGAATGGAGTAGAATTACAGATTTGAATTTGAAGAAAGTATCTTAACTTAGAACACATTAATGCAAAATAAATAAGACTTCTTAGCTAGTTAAAGTTCATCATGTTGATTTTGCTTAAAGGCTAAAGTTTATCCGAAAAATTGCTATCCAGATCATTCTATCTGGGCTTAATTTTTATTACCACAGATATTATCATTAGACCAAATATTTAATATGGTTAAAAGTGAAAATTACAGAACTAACTTAAAAATATATTTAAATAAATACAAATTCCATAAATGTTGGTAATTTTGAAATATCCAATATAAGTTCAGTGTTNTAATTCATAATCAATGTCAATTAGCCCTAAAATATTTAATACAGTAACATTATTAAACTTGCCACAAATCTTTGAATAAATCTATTGTACATAAATCTGTAAATAACTTTTTATTATATGTTGATAACAATCACAGCTACAATAAAAACAATGTGAGTAAAAAGTGTTGCTTTGGATATATAAAGTTATGTGGTATGAAGCTATGAACGTAACTATTATGATTTTTATGACATTAAAAAAATATATATTTGTATGAAATCAAATGGATTCCATAATCCTATTTTATTATTTATATTTTCTTGAAATAAAATTATAAACATATCTGTGTCTAAATATATAGTATAACATATATCCTATAATATATACTGTATTTTATATACAGTTATATGTTGTTTTCTCAAAAAAAAATTAACTAATGAACAAGGATGTTACTATTTTATAATAAATTAGTAATAATCCTCATTCATAACTAACAAAACTTATAAACACCATTGTAACAATTATAACAATCTTATTAAATTGCACAGGTTTGTAAACTGAAATTTATTGACAGGCATTTGTAAAAAGACCATATTTTTCATTATTTTGCTATGCACATTTCAGAAATTTTATCTTCTTTTTCCATTCTTGTCAGATTTTTTCGCAATTGATGAAAATAAAAAAAAAACATTTGTCACTATATACTAGCATGTTGATAGTATTTTGACAAATGTTTACATTTAATTAATACGATAATTGTTTGAAAAGAGAAATCTTGGATTTCTGTTTTATTTCTCCAGTTATTGTTTCTTGGGATAGTGTGGATTATAGTACTTTTATTCTTACCTTTGGCAATTTAATAAAAGATTTTTATTCAGTATAACTGAACTGTGAACTGTATAACTGAACTGCAAGCAAGTCTTTGACAGTTCATTACATCTTCCCATTTGGCAATTAAAAAAAAATGTTACTGTCTTAATAAAACAGTATATAATGTCCCATTAGAAAGATTTTTTTAATTTTTGAGTCTATCTAACAATCCATTAACACAACCACAGAAGTACCCATAACATTGTTGAAGAAAACCTTCAATAAAAACAAATAATGAATAGGTAAAAAACTCACAATATTAAAAATGATCAAAACGTCAGCCTTTTATTTGAGGTTCTGACGTCTTTTACATTAAAAACAACAAGTCTTCTCCTGAATATATCCTGAGTCCACCATGAAATTGAGTATATAATGTATATATATTTTGCATCTGTTTAATTCCTGCATCTACTATATTATGCTTTACCAATATTGTAAAAGTTAATAAACTACATGATTGCCTGAGAAGCTAATGGGTTATGGGCTCAGTTATATATGAAAGCAGTGATAGAAAATATAGGTCTTTTTGAAGACCTATATTTTCTATCACTGCTTTTGCTATCACTATATTTTCTATCACAGCAGTAAAAATGGCTGATTCTGTTTTGTCAAAATTTATTGATGAAAATTATCAAGTATGGCAATTCAAATGAAAATGTTACTTTATTGAAAAGGAACATAGTCATGTTTAATGAAAGTGAAACCTGAGTCTGAAACAGCTAAGTGTAAAGCAAACAATGAGAAAGTGGAAAGTACTATTTTTATCTGAGTGTAGAAGACAATAAGATTATGCATTTATGTAAGAGTTCATTGATAGGATATGTGGGAAGAGCTTACATGAATGAACTAACCTTAGCAACAGATTATATCTCTTGCAAAAGTTGTATCAATGAAAGGTTAATAAGAATGAAGAAATTCAAGAACATTGAGGATATTGGATATTTGCGGATAATGGAAACTTTCAAATGGTAGCAGCATTATTACTCAGCAGACTTCCAGATAATTATAAAATATTTTTATATATCACTCAATACTTGTTGATATGAAAAACTCTTGCATGAATACAGTATTTTAAATGTCAATTGGCAGATGAATGTAAACAAAAGATTGAAAATTCAAGTGATACATAAACAGGATAGAAATGAAGAAGAGAAAAGCCAGGATAAGTTGTCAGTAGTTGCAGCTCAAATTTTCAACTTTATTAGAATCCAATTGAAGTGTCTTCCAGGAAAAAAAGCCTTCTAGCAAGATGCTTGTCATATATTGCTCAAATTGCATAGTTCAAGTAAGGTTTTATTCTGAAATTTTCTGTCCTACTTAAGTTCTTTTTCTATAAAAAGTGTATGGAACCACTTTTAATAGATATTTAATTTTAATATCTATATACACAAACACACACTAATTATAAAAAGTAATTCAACAATATTATACAAGTAGATACAGATCATTCATATTTGGAAAAGTATTAAAAAAATATACATTATTAGTAAGTTTCCTGCATTAAATCATAACAATTTGAAAATATCATTAGCTTAAAAGTATATAATATCACTATAATACAAATATGTGTAGGAATATAAGATGGCATTATCTAATAGATTCATTTAATCTTTTATGATTTGGACTTGAGTTATCTTGAACTACATTTCAACATGTTATAAATATGGAATTTCTTTTTAAACAGAATAATAATGTTTATTACAAAATTTTTGTGTTTTGTACCTTGATACTATCTACCTACTTATATGCATCAATATAGAACTCACATAAGACATATGTATAAGCCAATTTCTAGAAACGTGTTCAGAAAATGTGAAATTTGTACTAAATAAATGCAAAATACAATTAATAAATTAAGAAAGTTCATAAACATTGTGATGTCAACTTTAAAATATGTCAATGTCCAAAACCTAGTATTATTTAAATATTTTTGTTTTTCAAAAATTTGTCATGAAATTGTAAAAATTATTGATAGTTTATACAATCTTTAAAATATATGTAAAATATTTTAAGAAATAAAGTTTTTCTTTTTTGTGAATGGAGAAAAAAGGATTACAACAAGAAGGTTATATATACCAAAAAGGAAATGTTAAAAATAATATGGCATTATACACTTCTATGCAGGTTCTATGCATACTGTTTATGAGATTCATAGTAAAATCAATGGAAAATAAATTCTATTCTAGGAGTACAATTTTGAGTAGCTAGCAGTGGCATGTTTTCCTATGGACAAAAAGGGCAATTGCCTGGGATTTAAACCAATCTTTTATAAGAAAATATTTCCTCTAAAGCATTCCCCTCCAAAAAAAAAATGTCTGAAGTCAACACTGTACATGCAGCTCCTAATTCAAATTTGTCTAGGCTCCATGAAGCTGTAATGCACCACTGGCTACTAGTAATTTCTGGTGAAAATCTATTTTGAAGTAATCTATCTGCAGTCTAATCTAATGCAAGTGCAATATTAGAGATTATGTTGACTAGTCCGTTGATTATCTTTCTCTTAAAGAAAATTATCTGAATTTTAATATTTTAGAACAGCGCTTTTCAACCTTTTCACACCTGTGGACTGGCAAAAATAGGAATAATACTTTGTGGACTGTCAGAAGGGTAAAGATGAATTTTCTTAGACTTAAACTGCTTAGATGTGGGTGACATGTGCGACTGATATAGAATGTCCTATATTTCTCATGCATTATTAAAAATTAAATAATGTCACTTTTGAGTAACATTTCAATTTCAAACCTTATCAAATTGAAGATAGAATGTGAAACCTGATGCAGGATTATGAAATATGCCAAAAACGTTTGTATTTTTAATAAATGTGTTTACTGAAAATGCAAGGATGGTTTTGAGATTTTCAGGTTAATCATAGTATAGCTTTGTTCATTGCATTAGTTTTATTTGATAAAAACTTTATATTCTTAATTTATCTTTGGAGATTTATTTTCTGGAACAGAAAGATTTTGGATTACACTTTAAAATCAAGTTATGAACATAAAGGATTATAGAAAACATAATTTTAAAAACTATAATACCTGTTGATAGTATTTGCATATGATGCTACACTATTGTTGATGCACAAAACAAAATAGCATATTAGAATACAAATTTTTTGTATAGATGAAATATTTATAAATTAGATCTGATTAAGTTACAAAACTTATCTATCAAATACTAGTTTAAAAAATACAAAAACCTGTCATAGATGCATATTACAAATACACTAGCCCCTACTTTTATAACTTAACTAATTCCTGGAAAACATTTTATGAATCATCATAAATAAAATTCTAGTTTCCTACAGATTCAATGTAATAAAATGAATTCTGTTCATGGAAATAAACTTTAAATGATATGATAACTGAAACAATCAACAAAAAGTTTGACACTTGAATATAGAATTTTTTTACAATCATAATTAAAAATTTATACTAGTTGTAAACATGGGGTTGTAAATTGAGTAATTGTAAAGCATCTACTGTATATTCATTATAAGTTTTAGTTGATAAAATATATTAGCTCTAATCAGATAAGGAAATTCTTGCAGACAAAAACTTCTTAAAGGACTAATTTTGCTCTCAAATTTTCCTTAAACACAAAATAAAGGTTATTTATTTTGAAAAATTAGTTTAATCAAAATAATTTTTAATTAATTTACAAAAAATATGCAATTTATTATAATTGTTATTTTTGTAAATTAATTTCTATCTTTAGAAATTTTTATAGATAATAATAAGATTAATTACATAATAGCTTCTTACTATTTAAAAATGAATAAACTTCTTGCTTAAAAATGATAAATTATTTGTATACACAGAACCAATTTATGGTGTGGTAACATCAAAAAATATCAAAAAACGAATGTTTTTGAACCCCTTCTGGGCTCTGCATCAGGTTCTAATGGTTTTTTAGATTGGAAATTTGATTAATGAATGCCGTTCAACTAAGAGTTCATTCTTGAGTTCGAAATGATTTACAAAAAAAAATTTTTATGTTGCACATGCGACATAAAAAAATTTGTGTTTCTCATGCTTTAGTCTAAGTTTAAGTCTAATGAGAAATTATACTCTAAACATTTCTTATATTACAGTACTGTATATCAATTTATATCATAGTGAGTTTAATGTTATATTATATAATTAAAAAACATATTAAAATAAATGATAAAGACTATATTATATTATAGTTTATTGCAATATAAAGATTATCATTAATTATTATTATGCATAATAGTTATTTACATTAAATATACAACCAAACATTACCAGATTTATTTGAACTATTATAAGGCTATAAATTAATTAAATTTTACAGTAATTTAATTAATTTACAACCTTATAATAATTCAAATAAATCTGACAATATTTGGTTATGTGTTTGGCTTAAAGCATTTCAGTTTATTAATAGTTTATGTATGTTCTAACTACAGTGGCATCACTAAGTCATAAGTTTGGAGATGTGTATGACAAAAATAGATGACTCATAACCAAAATTCCTGATTAATACTTGTGTACTTTATTCTATATTTAAAATATTAATAGCAAGGGATTTAGAAGTTTTTAAAAAGGGTATAGCTATATGCCTATATGCTTGCATAACCTAATGTGTCATTGAGTTTAAACTTTTAACATCAGTTTATAAATTAATAAGAAACTTCAAATGCTTAGAGTCTACTGTATTTTCTCAATTAAACATCTAGGGATTTTCTTTTAAAATGTATATATTTCATAAGGTTTATTACCTTGCAAAGGAGACAAGTGGGTAACAAAATTGAAAGAAAAGGAATAATTATTCATAATTTTCAAAATGCAATACAATATTTGAAATAATTACTGTTTTCATAGTTAACCTGATTCAGCATTTTCCAATTTGATTATTATTTTGTCAGTTGTCTGCTTTGATGTCATTGTAAGAATCAAGATCTTGACTTTACCATCTCTTTCCAATTTGAATTTTCCTAATTACCTTTTAGCTGATAAGTTCCTTACTTATGAACACAATTGCAACTTTCCCAATGCTTGATATTCAGCAATATATATAATTTTATTTCAAAAATATCTTTCCATGAACTTTGGAATAGAAAGTTCTACCTGACTCTAGACACAAAGATTAATCAAATGAAATCCATTGAGTAAATTTATTAAGACAAACAAAACAGTATATATAAATATAATACATTTATATTTATATATACCATTTAATGTTTATTATTTAATTATAGTCATATTATAGCCTGATTGTTTAGGCATTTGTTGGTTTACAAAATGGTATATTCATTGGCATGGCATAATTAAACAAAGCAATGTATGAGGAAGCCAGAATACATTTTTATTTGTTAAAAGAGTCATTGCCAGACCATGTGACATAGTGTGAATGAGTTTTATTCCTAATCAATCCTAATAATTTGAAGAGATAGCATTTTAGTTAAACTCCTTACCTGACACTCTAAATTACTTTACTGTATATAGTGCAGTACTCATTTGTGTTTCTCATGCTTTTCAACTTAGATTTTATTGAATCTTGGGGTTTAATTGAAGAAATATGGTAAATAATTTTATATCTTAGGATTATTAAAAAAAAAATAGACATCTTACTTTTAAAACATAATAATATTTTCCTCCTGACAGACCGACCTATGATGGTTTATGAAAGTATCATTTGATCATTTCCCAACTGTGAGATATATTAATATTTTCCAACTGAAATCATTATATTTGACTCTTGGAGGAGTGACCCACCCCTTCCTACTCTATATAATGACACCCTGGCCTAACTATTGTGTATGTTTTTCCTTACATAATGACCTTACCTACCTTAATAATTTACTTATTTTTCTTACGAGTGTTTTCTTGAATTCTTTATTCTGTCATAATCTGTTTTTAGTTTTTAAATAATTTTATCAACTCTTTCAATTTTAATTAATATATGATTCAAGGATGACCTTATACTGAACTAAATTTATATAATGAATACATGTTATATAATATACATAAAAATGTTACATGTTATTGACTCTACATTCATATATATTTTATATTGACAAACACATTACACAGAATCATTAAAGAGAGTTTTGTGTTTTGTTTATATAAAATTTTTATGTAATAAATACAGGTATCCCTCATACAACACAGTTTTGCTCTAACATGGTTTGAGAATTAGAGACATCAGCATACAAAATGTCACAATTTTTAAGTGCAAATACCATTATTAGATATTTTTTTTATTCAAACAAACATGCATGTTGTCTCATATTTGTCCATGGATTTTATAATATTGAAATTTTCAATGTTGTTTTGTGCCTTTCTTCTGGTTTTCCTTAATTAATGAGAACTGAATATATAAATTCAATAATTAAATGATTGTACAGTTTTTCATACTCCTTGTCCAAGTTTCCTATTCTAGCCTTTTTATAAACAAGGTTTTGCTTTCTTTGGTGATACTGCTCTAAATGAACCTGAAAGATTGTTCCTATGTTTTGTTTTTATAGATTAAATTAAAAGTTACTACATAAAAAGATTAAACTGTAAAGATCTCTAAGGCAAATGCAAGTAAATGAAAATATCAGATTTTATGAAAAAAGTAGAGAAAAATACAGTTGTTGATATATAAGATTGAGATTAATAAGAATGCTCAGATGATGACAATATATTATCAAAAAGAATACATTCTTGTTTAACAGTGTTTATCATTGAAGAAAATATTAACAGTAATGTACAATACTTTTGATTGTGACTATTAATTAATTATTGATTGCTTTAATAAACATATTTATCTTAATTACAAAAAAGAATAGTATACTTTTGCTAACTTTTGGAACCTAACCCTGTTTTGTACTATTCCTTTGTTTTGTATAGCATAGATTCACATAACGTGGCACTTTTTTGGAACCTAACTACTGTGTTATACAGGAGGATATCTGTAGCTAAAAATATTTTATATTTTTGAATTACATGTATATCTTTTACTATATATGTACTTTAAAAATTTATACATTCATTTCTTTCTTTGATTTTGCTTTTTATTCTGTACTTAATAATTAGAATTAGAGTTTTTGTGGTCTTGAACAACATTTCTTATACAGTACTTTATTAGACTTAGACTCCAATTCTTTTTTGTTGGATTTGCTCAAAATAACAGAAAATTCTATTGTACACATTAAATGAAAATTCACATGATGTAGACATTTTGTTCAAATATTACATTAGCAAAAATTCGCCCTTTTTGATCTCCTTTGCATCATCACCAATCATCAGAAATCAAAGTACCCCTCTCTTTATGTGAGCAGTAGAGAAGTTTAAACCTTTTGTAAATACACAGGAATTATTTTCAGACAATTCTGTAATGACTAGGTGAAAAATAAACAATGGTTGCAATCTTATGTCATAAAAGATTCATCTTTTCTCTCTCCACTATTAATAATTATCAGATACCAACAAATTTTTCCTCATCCATATACTGTTGTAATACTTGAATAGGCCCTATGAGGAAAGACAACTAAAGAGAGAAAGAAAGTTTTATTGAAATGCATGTTGTGATCAATTTCATACAAGTAATATGAAGATTTAGTGAATAAACTTTGTAAGCAACATTATTTGATGTTCCTGATTGTTAAAAATACAATCATGTATTTCAATAAGACTGATTCTTATCTTTTGATTATTATTATTAAAGGCTGTTTGTTGTCTAAGTATATAACTATTTTAAGTTGTGAATCAAGTTAAAAATTCAAAAGTCAGTTTCTAATAAATAAATAGAAACTATATTTTAGTATTCATATTACTTTTTCATATTTTAATAAGAATGAAATAAAATACTTTTTAAAAAATATAACTCAAAAATTATTATAATAAAATTTGATAATTTGGATGATTATATTTATATTTAATGTTCAATGACATATAAAATCAAGTAATTATGGAGTTATCTGATTTTATTTTGTTTAATATGGTATTAAAGCATTATTACATTTATGTATCAAATTAAATATATTGTCCCATAATNATAAGTTATATACATAATTTTTCTTATTTACATAAAACTAAAAAACTATATAATCTGTATTGTTTTTTTTCTATCTAAAATAACTACATAGATGTTCACTTTTTTAAAAGTTTAGTTAATACTTTATTTTCTGAAGGAGGCAAAGATGATTCTAGTGAACATATAAAGAAACGTGGTGGATTAGGAAAATTATTTCGAAGTCTTGGAAGTAAAAAAGATAAACCTTCTAATAAACCAGGAAAACCTCATTTACTTCATTTAACTCAGAAACCACATGCTAAAAGTAAATAATTTTGATTAATTAAATTTTTATAATTAATTTTCTCATAGGCCTATATATAATAAAATGAATTATTAGTTCCTAGGTTGCCAACTGGAAATGTTTTATTAGGTGATGAGGAAAGACTTCAATTAATGCTGTTGGTAAGAGATGGCTTTTTAACAATGGAACAAGCTGTTCAGAAGGTAAGTAAAAGCTGAATATTAAATAAATAAAGTATTTTTTACATGAATGTTATCTATTAAAAACTTTATTTTGATTAGATTCGTCATAGAGAAGCTGAACGATCAAAAGAGAAAACATTACAACAACAAGGAAAAAGTGAGGTAAAAAATGAAAAATGTTATTTTAATATTATTTATTTAAATGAATTTGAAACTTACGCCAAATAAATAGCTAAATTGCATTTAGCTATTCCATTTTACACAATAATAATGAAATTTCAAACTGTCAATATTACAATATATTGTTATATTGTAGTAAATGTTTCCAATTGAATTATAAACTTTATAAACTTCCTAATAAAAGTTTAAGAATTGCTTTAAAACTTCTATTGATATAATAAAATTTGATAATTTGGATGATTATATTTATATTTAATGTTCAATGACATATAAAATCAAGTAATTATGGAGTTATCTGATTTTATTTTGTTTAATATGGTATTAAAGCATTATTACATTTATGTATCAAATTAAATATATTGTCCCATAATCCATATATATGACAATAACTCCATGACAATAACCCTTAACATATAACCTAAATGGTTTATTGTCATGAAGTTATCTATTATATATTAACTTATAAGCTGTTAGAATATAATGATGCAATAATTAATACTGCAAGCTATATTTAATCTAGAATAAAACTTATTGAAGTAGTAAATGCCATACTAAACAATTAAATAACCTGAAGATTTATAAATTCTTTATTTTTTCTGTATTTATATAGGAAAAATTGTAAATATACCATATTTATTCTAATAAATAGCACCTTCTAATAAACAATGCACTGCAAGAGGAAAAAAGTTATAGGCAGTTCCTTCCGATAATAAATATACAGTACTATCTAATGGAGGAAGATAAGGCCTATTGTAAACTGAAAAGTTGCACATTGTATTCAGCATTGTCATTCTTATCTTATATTGAAATAAAGTGTGTGTGTTATGTTGCTGTGTTGTTTAAATAATAATAAAGTTACAATAAATCACCATATTTTATTCCATTCACAGTCATCTTTAAATAATAGTCACATCTAATTCCCAAAGAATGGAAATATTAGTCACCCTCTAATAAACAGCACAGTTGCAATCTGAAAAAATTATGGACAGTATACTGTTCATTAGAAACACAGTGAATATATAACTTATTTTTTATATATAATATATAATATATATATATTTTATATAGGAAAAATGAAAATTTTGTTTTGGTATTCTAATGAAAATTTTAGCATTTTAATCTCTTGCATATGTCAAATCCTAGTGCATACATTCTGAATTCTGTACATCCAATTTAAAGTGAGTTATATTACATTATAACTGCATTATTCACATTAATATTTTATTAATTTAATAAAAGCCTACCTAAAATTTAAAAATAAAGAATTACCTTTATGTAATTTGCATTTATATAATCTGAACCAGGTATTTCAGAATCTTCCGTAAGAATAACCCTTGTAATGTCATCTAGAATAAATTCTTTATGTAAGAATTTAATAATATGCATAATCATTAAATTATTTGAATACAGATGAAATCCATTTTAACTACAATAAAGTAATAATTGAAATGTTAGGATCCTAAACTATTAACATACATAAATGAGCAATCAAGAAATTAGAACAGACATCTTGATTTAATAAAATAAGCTTCAATTTGAAAACTATAAATTTTTAAAAAGTAATATCTGTAAATTTTACTTACATGGTAAAATGTCTTTATATCTATTCTTGCAACGATTAATTTCTTGTGCTCCATGTTTACATGAAAATTCAGGATCTTGTTTTAATTTATCTGTCAAAGCCTTTAGTTTCTTAAAAAATAAATAAATAAATGAAAGTTAAAAATAAATATAATAACAATATACTTTAATGTATGATTACATTATATTAATAATATTAAACCTGATAATGACAATCACAATCTAATTATAAGAAGGTTTAAAATCTTTTAATGGTTAAAAGGTTAAAGAAAACTTCAATTTTATAATACTACACTAAAATGTAGTCTTGCTAATCCAATTATTGTATGGATTTATAGGGATTAGTAGGGTTATATATAACAGGAAGTCAAACAGAACTATAAACAAATACATATGTTTTTAAAAAATTGTACTATATATACAGTACACACATTTTTGTTAAAATGTACAGTAAAAATTAATTTCATAAATTCCCCATGTTTTAAAAAATAATTTATGATTTCTTTTTGATTTTGGCTGAAACATTTAATGGAAAATATGAATAAAATTAGACTGGACTAGCAAGAGTGCACTGTATATAATAAGACTAGTTATTGATAAACTAATTTTCATTTCAAAGCACACAATTAAAAACTGTTGAGATGTGGACCATAGTTTTTATCTTCTGTAGTAAGTGGTGAATATAATTTAGCATGAATGGCATAACATGTTATATATTTCCAAGTCTTTTAGTTCCTGTTCTGCCTGAAGATTTAGAAAATGTATGTTAAAAATTGATTATTTACAATCTGCTTTTGTTATAGTGCAATTAATTATATATTTGATTAGTAATTATTTAAAATGGCACATAACACTTGGAAGTAATGTATATTAAAGTTATAAGTTATAACAATGATATCATATACGTATAATTTATTGCATTGCTAAAACTACACTTGAATAAGAATATAATTAAAATAAGAACTGTTTTGTAAATGACAGTCTCATAATTTTGTAATTTGAATTTTCCTTATCTTCAGGAATTAAAACATTAGTATTGTATAATTTTGAAAATCATATTAATGTCATTAATAATAATGATATTAAATTTAACGTCTTAATTTAGCATATACGGACATATTCGTTTTTGAATTGCATTCTGCAAATCATTATTCAACCTCAAAAGAACTTCCGAATTAACAAGATATTTTTATTTTATAAAAAACTTGAAGTTTTTTAAAAAATATTCCAAAACAGATTGAATTATTACAACTATTTCAAATAAAAAGGGAACTTGACTAACTTTCAAACAGCTTTTATTGTAGGTTGTTAAGAAGCCATAGTATTATACTCACTGTTGCTGTGTTTTTCCCATTGAAAGATATTATTCTTAAAAAATCTACATACTATATTAAAAAATAAAAATGACAAACAAACAATGACAATGTGTATAATAGTATGACTTCCATGACCATCTACAGTAGGAAATGTTTAAAAGTTAAAAGCAAATTTTTTGTTAGTATGAAGTGTTTGTCAAGGTACAATCTGATTTAAGATCTTTTATGAAACTTTTCAAGTAAAATTTTTATAAAACAATAATCATTGTCACTTTATTTTTACTTTACTTTAGATTTTCATAAATGCTTGTCTTAAAAAATTTAAGAATAGATTTGGAATAGAGAACTAAATAAAGCTAAATGAGCTGAAAATAACAGTTAATAAGACTAAAGCAAACTATTGAGATTAAAATTGTTTATTTGCAAAGTATTTAACTAAAAATGAGTACTTTCAACATTTCAAAAATGTCATTTCAACATTCCTCAGGTTGACCATATACCATTCGAATTACAATTTTTTAAAAAGTACATTAAATTATTCAAAACACATCATTTAAATCATAGTGTGTGGTTTTTACATAAAATGGAACAGACATGACATATTTATATCATGTCTGCTCCATTTTATGTTCCTTTTGAGCTGCTTTGACAAAGCATCTCTCTAATGAATTTATAAATAATAACAATATAACATATCCATAAATGTTCTACGTTGTATTCAATAATTATTAATTAATATTTACAATTTAGAACATTTAGTATTTTTCAGGAAGTTGCCTTAAAAGTTAGTAAATACTTTCATTTTGCCAATAATTGTTATTGATTTTCATAATAATTTCTCAAGCTGCTTCTGAGTCATCATGAAATAAAATGCATTTGAATAATTGACATAAAATAAATAGTATAATAGTGATTTCAAGCATATTATATAACAGCAAAATTAAAATATTTATTAATTTATGAGACAATTTATCAAGAAAATGTAATAGCCTGCATGAAAATATCAAACAGAAGTATATTATATTTTTGATCAATTTCTCCATTTTTCATGAGACTGTTTCTACTTTTGTGTTAAGATGATAAATAGTTTTTAAAAAATTAGCTTGATTAGGTAAATTATAAAGTTAGCTCTCATAATATTGTAATTACCTAATTTATTTTTTATGATCATATAATATCACAACGTAATCCAGATAATCAATCACCAATCATTAATTACTTAACATTTTCGCAAATTTATATTATAGACATGCATTTTATAATTTGTTAATATTGATAAACAGTATATTTAATTACAATATACTATTTGATGTATGAAAAAATTATCTAGAATTGAGTTCAAAGCTGCAATTCTGCATAATATACCAATGTACTACAACTGTATTTGCTTCATGTAGATCCTATGGAGTAGTACTTTCAGACATATTTACTAAAGTTAGATTATTGTATAATATATAGCTGATATATATATATATATATATNTGTAATACCTGTAATTTTTCAAGCATTTGCACACCTTTTTTTAAAATTACCTTTCTCTTAAAGGTCATTTTTTACCATATTTCACAAAATATAGATAGTTCCAAATATTTACTTCATGTTGATTATTACCATTTCAAAAAAGCCTGTAAATGATTATTATACAATTTTTTTTCTTGTTTTTTATAATTTTATACTAATTACTTGTATTTTGCTTTGTTGTACTTTATTCATCATATTTTATGTATTTTAATTGGGGTTTTACTGTTAATGAGGAGGAGGAAACCTAATGTCAAGAGACTTTTCCTATCATAATTGAAAATAAATAACTAAGTGAAACGGTGATAAAATAGAATAGACAATAAATTAGTTTGAAATGATAAAATAAAAATATATTAGAGAGAACATGAATGTCGAACGTTGAGCGCCGCTATCTTGTAAGTGGTGCTCGACGTTCGATGTTCT